AAAGAAGATTATTTTCTCTTATAATAATTCTTCTTATATATATCAGTGATCAGTTATTATCTTTATTAAAAATAAATTATCATCTTTCTTAAATCTTCATTATATCTTCTGAATTCACTTCTTTCACTTCTTTAACTTCTATTGAAGATTCACAAACTCTTCAAGAAATCACTGTGAATTACAAAGTCTATGTTATTTATAATTTAATATAGAATGCTCTCTTTCAATTATAATGAATAATTACTTCATTCTTCATATCTGATTTCAGGTCACATAATTTATGAAAAACTTTACACAAATATTGAGATGAACTATGAAATAATTATTAATAGATTATATTATAGATTACTGAAAAGTCATCTCTCTACTCTAATCACTGTAACTTTATTCAGAAATATTCATCATAAACTGATTATAACTCTGATGAAATTTTCTAACATTTAAAGTCATCAGAATACAGACAATAAAAGAAAAATAATCAGAAAATTACTACTGAGCTGATAAGTTACTCTATCAGATAATGATTTTTAATAATACTAACTTTCTAATTTGAAGAAAATCATTTGAAAATAATCATATATTAGTACTCTGATATCACAACTCTTATCTAATAACTTCTATGAATAATTACATTATATATATATATCTCTGAATCTTTCTCTTTGATCAATTAAAAACTCTGAATTTCAAACACTTTTTCAAATGCTTAATTCAAATCTTTATATTTAACATTGATCATGTCTTCAGTTTTATCTTGAAATACACTACAAAGTTAATATATAACATCTAGAATCAGATTTGAAGAATTATTGAAGAGTATCTCTCACAGTGAATGCATAAACTAGTATAAACAATCTTACATTTATAAGAGTTATATGTTATTACATTGATAAGAACTGAACTTATTAAGAAATATTAATTGAATTTGAATCATTGATCAGTAGTCATACTGAGAATTATATAACAGAGATATTAATAACAGTGATTAAAAATGACTATTGAGATATTAGTCTCAGTCTTCTTACAATTATAACTGACAATGCTGTGAATAACTATACTATGATGAAGAGCTTGAAGTAAAAATTGACTTTGTATTTCTGAAATGATAAATAAGATCATATCTTCTGTATTACTTATATAATTTAACTTGTGATACAAACACTGATAAAGAATCTTAATATTGAGATAATAAATAATAAGATGACTGATTCTTGAGATGAGAATGAGATGAAAGTAATTACTCAAGTAACTTTTATATTCACTCTATTAAAGATAATGTTTTTTAATAACACTTTTTAATATTGTTTTTTAATAATACTTTTTGATAATACTACTGTTAATTTTGAATAGATTGATGAATAATTTAAATATCATAGATTTGAAACATTACTAATACAATTTGTATTTTCTCTAAACAATAATAACAATTTCATAATATTCAATAAATAAACAAATCAGTCATATCACTGAATATGATACAGAATGTTAGAACATGATAAAGTTTAATATATAAGATAACTATTCAGACTCTTCAATTGTGTCAGATAATTAATTATTGAGTGTAACACTCTGATCAGAAAAAGATTCAGATATTGAAACTTTCTAATATGAAGTGAACTCAGTTGAAATATATGATTGATTTACTGTTTCAGTTTTATAAGATAATGAAGACAGTCTCAATCACTTATACATCAATGCTGCAGTCAGTCTGATGAGTGTATAACAGTTTATTTACTTATCTTGAGAAGCAGTTGAATCACTTAAAAAGAAATTCAGTCTGAGATAATGCTATAGCACAGGCTATTATTACTGTAAGAAATAAACTGATATATTATTACAGCAAAACTGAACAATCTTTTGCAGAGTACTATACTATAGAAGCTCTACTTGAT